AGCAGTCCATGCATGTACTACAAAACGGGGACAAGCCTACTCTCAACCTTGCTTCAGGGAGATCAGCCATCCTGGGTACTTCTGACTCTCCTCGCCATCGCCGACACTCCGGACATGACCAGAGGACAGCCTTTACAGCACTCAAGCCCTTCAGGATCCAATATCTCCTTCTGATGTATGCAAAAACCCTTTGGCAGCCTGCGCTATGGTTGAAAACATCGCTATCAATCCGCTTTATCAACAATTTTGATATATGATGGCCAGGATCTAACACAATAGGATGAACGTCAACACGCTCACACCTTGAGCCTTTCTTAAACGCCCACCAACTCGGATCAATCGCATCTCTTTGTCAAACTCAGGAGCTAAATTGCTCAGTTTACTGCTTCCGGCCACGGTCTTCCCATTTTTAAGTAACCTGAACTCCTCAGGGAAACTCCTTCTGGACCCTTCTGAGCATCTCCGCCTCTAGATTCTGAATATCTGCAACCTCTAATACGCTTCCATTATTGATCTGCCTTTTATAAGCCTCTAGCAACTCCTCCCAGCTCTGGATATCGTCGATACCAATATCTACATCTTGCTGAACATTTACACTACCAGTGAAGATTGCCTTTGCTTCTTCACCTTCATCACAGCCCTGGTCTTCAAACCGTTGAGGCCATTCTCCCTCTGGCTTGGTAAGAAACTCTGGACCTGACATCCATCTCTTCTTCAACCCTTGATCATTTATACCTTTAGATAGGTCATCAGCCGGGTTGTCAGTGCCTGCAACATGCCTCCAACTTGCTCCTCCAGTTTTGCCTTGAATCTCGGCCACCCTGACCGACACAAACAACTTGAACCAACCAGGAGGTTTCTTGAGCCACCTCAACACGATCATGCTGTCAGAGAAGAAATACAAGCCCTTGAATTCAAAGGTAAACTCTTGCACAATTGTCTCTGCCAGTCTTGCTGCAATGACAGCTGCCTGCAGCTCAAGCCTCGGTATGGTTAATCTCTTGAGAGGAGCAACCCTAGACTTAGAAGCCACTAATCGACATTCGTAGACGCCCTCTTCTACCAACCACCTAACATAAGCACATGCACCGAATGCCTTTTCCGATGCATCGCAAAACACCACCAAGCAAACCTCACTGCCCGCTGCCGGTGGAGTCAGACATCTGAGAAACTTGAACTGCTCTAGCCTCTTGAATTCCACAAATATTTTCTTCCATTCTTCTTTAGCCTCTTCACTTAATGGTTCATCCCAATCGACTCCTGCTAACCACAGCTATTGCATCTTAATCTTTCCATTGATGATCACCTGGCCAACCAGTCCAACTGGATCAAATACCTTGGCCATTACTCCCAGAACCCTACGCTTAGTGAACTTCTCGATGTCGATCTCCACGTTAAACACGAAAGTGTCATCACTCGGGTTCCAACGAACACCTAACACCTTCTGTTCCGATCTATGTCCTACTTCAACCATCTGTTTACCAAACAACTCCGGTCTTGCAACTTCAAGCTTATCAACTACTTCACACTTCGTACCTTCAGGCTTAGCAACTATTCCACCCTTTGCATCTTCAAGATCTATATTCGAGGACCTCGCTTTAACCTCGAACCCACCTAAGGCTAGCCGTCTATCAACCTCCTGCGCCAGTGTTGCTTCT